ATATATTAAAATAATGGAAATGTTACATATTAATGCCAGTGATTTATTTAATGAACTTTATTTGTTTATGGTTTGGATTTATTGATAATATTCTTGCTGTGTGGGTAAGTGACATTGATACCCTGTGCCAGTTTGATGAGTATGTGAATAATGTTTTTCTGGGTTACAAGTGAATATGAAGTATTGTATTGATTTGGATACACTTATCACACTGTCTAATGGTGACTTGATGAGTGATATTTATACTAAACCAACAGACTGCAATCAGATTCAGAAAGTTAAAAGAATTGTTAGCAATGGGCTAACTAGGCATTAGGGTTTAGCCTCTACATTATTTACATTCCAAAAGAATTGCGTCAAATAGTAATGTGGATTTAGGGGAATGGTAGTCACCAGAAAAGATAGAACCTTATTCCACTTGTAGCCCAATTTCATCTTCATTCTTATGAAGTGTTTTCCATCGTTAAAAAAACAAGTGCATCTGCTAAAGGAAAATGATCCGTACATACCTAATCATGGAGGTAGAACTATACAAGACAGAATGGTTAGAGCAGATTTTGTAAGAGCATTTATAGAGAAAACAATTATATTTTTAGGACTGGGATATACCTTTGTTTATTTTGTATGCATTGTTCAAATCCTTTTAAAGTTGATTATTTTTTCCATCCCCTTCCAAGAAAAAAAATCATACACATTCAAGGCTTCTACATGTCAGAGTGATTGTACATAGTAAGATGTTCATTCCAACTTTACTATGTATGTGAAACCACCCAAAAGGCTAAAGAACAAATGGATAGACACAAATATTTGATTAAGAATTCACAAACACAATTGCCAGTGCTGACACATTTTATTGAACATAGACACAAACTAACCCAACTTAAATATATGATCATAGATTATGTTTCTAAGATGAAATATGGGCATGGGAACTGAGAACTCAAATTAAAACAATGTGCAGTTGAATGGATAAATAGATTAAAAAATATTCTGCTGAAAGGTCTGAATGGGAATTGTGATTAGTATTTGTTCTTCTAACATCTTGCTTTTCTTGTTTTCTTTTCAGGTATGTTTATGTGTTTATTTCTATAAATGGAGTGCACTTATTGGCCCTATGTAATAGAATTACTATGTTACTCACATGTAATTTTGTTTTCAGGCAATTTGTATTTGCAACTTGTGAACATAAAAAGTTTAGTGATCTATTGTTAAAGATTTGCTGTTGCTTAAGAAAGAGCATATGTGTAAGCTTAATGTTTAATACATAGATAAATAAATTTGCTTAGAGTGCCGTGAGCCCAAACTGATTTGTTCTATCTATCTATCTATCTATCTATCTATCTATCTATCTATCTATCTATCTATCTATCTATCTATCTATGTAGATAGATAGATAGATAGATAGATAGATAGATAGATAGATAGATAGATAGATAGATAGATAGATAGATATCTCTGGCGGTAAGGCTTTCTGCCACTGCGTGTGCTCATGATCACTTCCATATCTTAGCTTCTTATCCTGATTTTCTACTTCTGAATGATAACTTTGGCACTGTGAAACCTGCCTCTATTTATTTTTGGATTACAAGTTTGCAAGGTGCTACACCTAACTTCAGGCCTATCCCGGGAGCTGTCATGCAGCAAATTCCAAATCTCCTATCCATGAATCTCAAAACAACAGAACAATTTTTAGAAGCAATACTTCAGGGAAGAGCATGGAAACTACTGTTTGGCACAGAGCATTTATTAGCACTTTAAATAAGTGGTGTTTGGTGTTTGCATGAAATGCTAAGGAAAGCCAAATAATCTGAAAAAGTGTATTTTACTGCTTTAGATTACTGAAGAAAAGTATCTCATATGTGGCCAAATTAAATTTTTTTGAAAACAGATGATGGGCATGAGTTTGAGAATACATTTTTTTTTAAACTAAGGAATGAATCATAATCAAAAAATAGAAAAGGGGGTCAGTTAAAAAAAACAATAATAGTTGCAAGACAACTGTAAGCAAATACTACAATATTATGGATGCCTATTTACAATGACATG